CCCGGGAGGCCTTTGGCTTTGAGCAGGCCACTCGGGAGTACACGCTGCAGAGCTTCGGGGAGATGGCCGATTCCTTCAAGGCCGACTACTTCAACATGCCCGTACATGTGAGTTCTGGTATCCTCGTCCTGAGCTAGCAGTACCCCTGCCGCCGGTCATTTCTAGGAAGGGAGTGGTCCACCAGGTGTGGAGAGCACAGGAGCGCCTGCATCCTCTTCTCCGGCAGATCCGGCCCCAGTGTGCCGCTTTCCCCTGCCACTGCCGGCTCTTGCGAATTTCAGCGTTGTGTCCTCCATCATCCCGACTCTCTCCTCTGCCCCGTTCCCCAGATGGTGCCAACGGAATTTGTGGAAAAGGAGTTCTGGCGCTTGGTGAACAGCATCGAAGAGGACGTGACGGTGGAGTACGGGGCCGACATCCACTCCAAGGAGTTTGGAAGCGGCTTCCCCATCAACGACGGCAAGAGGAAGCTCTCCCCCGAGGAGGAGGTGCGTTACGGCCTTGCTTGACAGCAAACGTCCTCCTTCCTAAATGATTTGAGCCTCTTCTCCAGCACCCCTCTGCTTGAGGCTCAGTCTTCGTCCCCGGCTGTGCCGTCTTTCTTAGCCCAGTGCCTGTGATTGCAGGAATACGCGGCCAGCGGCTGGAACCTCAACGTGATGCCCGTGCTGAAGCAGTCGGTGCTGTGCCACATCAACGCCGACATCTCGGGCATGAAGGTGCCGTGGCTCTACGTGGGCATGGTCTTCTCTGCTTTCTGCTGGCACATCGAAGATCATTGGAGTTACTCCATTAACTACCTCCATTGGTGAGCCATCTGGGGACAAGGGGGAAGCAGCGCTGCCCTGTCTAGGGGTGTGTGCGTTTGGATCTCCCAGAGCTGAAAATCTACCTGAAAAAATACTTTACTGGTATTTTTCAGGTAGATTTCGGCATCCCAAAATGTGTTTGGGTTTTCTCTGGAAAACCGGGAAGAAAATACCCGAAAAAAATCCCGGATATATTCGGAAATTACGAGGAAGATCCAAAAACAACAGGGTGGTGGGAGCAGAGTGCTCGCTCCTCTAAGCTGTTTGTCATGCTTCTGCCGCAGTCCCTTTAAACGTTAAAGGGACTGCAGAAGACAGCTCGAGGATCAGCTGTGCCTAGGGGAGCAGACTGTTCCCGCCGGCTCGGCTTGGGGCTGGCTTCTTGTGCGCTGCAGGAGATGCCAAGCCAGCCCCAGGATCGGGCTGGCTTTTAAAAAAAAAATTGTGTTTTCTTCTTGGGTCTATCAAACCCGAAAAAAATCGGGATTTCCAAAAATTCCCAGACCCGAATACGGTACCAGACCAGTATTGGGATCCAGGAGTCTTTGAAAATCCCACAATTTTGGGGGGGTCCAATAGACCCAAACCCGAAAAATGCAGATACAAAAATATTGCACACCCCTAGCCCTGTTGGGCTTGGCTCTACAAGCCAGTGTGGTATGGCGGTTAAGAGTGTCGGACAAGGATCTTGGAGACCCAGGTTCAAATTCTTACTCGTGCTGTGGAAGTTTGTCGGGTGGCCTTGGGGCCAGTCACACCCCCTCATCCTAACTTACCTCATAGGGTTGTTGTGAGGATAAAATGGAGAGCAGAGTGATTGAAGTGTGGAATTCGCTGCCGGAGAATGTAGTGATGGCCAAAGGCATAGACAGCTTTAAAAGGGGATTAGATAGATCTTTTCTCCATGAATCTGTTGGGCTACTAGCCATGGTGACTAAAGGGAACCTCAAGATTCAGTGGCAGTCAATCTCTGAATCCCAGTGCCAGGAGGCATCATCAGGGGAAGGCCTCGGCCTCTCTGCCCTGTTGCTGGCCCTGTTGCTGCCCTGTTGCTGGTTGGCCCCTGTGTGAGACGGGAGGCTGGACTAGATGGACCCTCACTGGTCTGATCCAGCAGGGCTCTTCTGATGTCCTTATGAGTAACTGGTTGGCCACTCTGTGAGATAGGATGCTGGGCTAGATGGACCACTGGTCTGATCCAGCAGGGTTCTTCTGCAGTTCTTATGAAGGCCTTGCCCACTAAGCCCTGTTGATGGCCCTCCAGAGGAACTGTTTGGCCCCTGTGTGACAAAAACTGGGAAAAAAGGGGTGGGGGGACTCAACCCAGGATATGACCACGAACCAAAAAGGGCTAAGCTAAACCATATATATAAAAGTACAAATATTTATTAAGGTGTACACATGTTAAAACTTTCCTGATTAAAAATTACTTTGTCTAAGATCTAATACCAGGAGTCCAATTATAAGTATACAAGGAAACAACATCCGGTTTAATTATATGTGTACTAAAACTCTGTAACAGGTCTTTGAATGTGTGTCTAGAATATATAGATAATAGTGACCACTGAGGAAGGCCCTTAGGGGCCGAAGCGCGTTTAACTTTAAATGCATCCTCCAAGCCCCCCACACCAGTTGGCTTGGCTTGGAGAAGGTATTTAAAGAGGCAAATGCCTTCTCCGAGCCAGCCGGAAGGGGGTGGGGCTTTGAGAACGCATTTAAAGTTGCTTTTTTTCTCTGCTCCCCCCCTACCTCAAGCTTACCCAGAGAAGGGAACACTGGCTGGGGAAAGGAAGACCAATCAGGGAGGCATGCCTCCCCTTCACTTCCTGAGCCACAGTTTGGCCACTCCTGGCATATGGAATTCTACTTTTATGGCATTTATAAAATTTACAAATAGAAATGGCATTGTTTCTTTTGTAACAGAGTGGCAAATTTACTGCGAAAGAGAGCAAACTGCTTTACCTTAATGCTACTTAACAGGATGTACTTCAGTTTTTGACTTTTAAGAAAATAAGGGGAAGAAATAAAAGTTGAAAATAGAAAGCATTATAACCATCAAACTAAAGTTTTATTATTTGCAGTTAGAAGCAACGCTCATACAGCCGTAGTAATAAGGGCTATCTGTAGACTAGGATATTGAGTTAAACATTGCGCTGAAAAATTGACATTGACTCCAGTAGTGTAGTGGCTCAGTGCCGGAGCATCTGCTTTGTGCGCAGAAGGTCCCAGGTTCGAGCCCAAGCATCTCCAGTTCAAAGGACCAAGTAGTAGGTGAAGCCAAAGACCTCTACCTGAGGTCCTGGAGAACCCCTTCCAGTCTAAGACAGTACTGACCTTGATTGGACTGAGGGTCTTACTCAAGATAAGCAGTGTAATGATTCCATGCTTTGGTGTGTGTGTTTCTTTAAATGTTTAGTTGACTGCAGTACTGTAAGAAGAGTGATAGAGGGAGACAAGTGTGATGTGATTGGCTGATCACTGAGAGAGTGGAAGGAGAGATGTCTATGAGGGGATTCTGTGTGGGAAGTTTGAAGAGAGAGCATAGTCTGTGTGACTATGGGAGTTTTTGAGTCTATTCTGTGTGAATACGAGAAAGAGTTCAGCCTGTGTGGCTATGTGTGTGTGTATGTATGTGTGCGGTGGTTAAGTGCGCGGACTCTAATCTGGGAGAACCAGGTTTGATTCCCCACTCCTCCACTTGCACCTGCCTGGATGGCCTTGGGCAAGCCGTAGCTCTGATAAGAGCTGTCCTTGAAAAAAGAGCAGTTTCTGTCAAGAGCTCTCTCAGCCCCACCTACCTCACAGGGTGTCTGTTGTGGGGAGGGGAAGGGAAAGGAGTTTGTAAGCCGCTCTGAGACTCCCTTGGGTAGTGAAGGGTGGGGTATAAATCCAATCTCTTCTCTTCTTCTTCTTCTTCTTCTTCTTCTTCTATATATATATATAGAATATATATGAGAGAGAGAGGTATTAGACTGAGTGTCTACGCCTGTCAGAGTGGAGTTTTGGGAGTTTGAGACACTGTTTGTGACACCAAGCTTTGCTAGTTATATTTACAAGTTCCTTTCATCAGCAACAGTTCAAAATAACCAGAAACCTATTTTGTTCTTTATTAAATAAATCATTTTTTGTTTAAACTTATCCCCGAGATCAGAATAGTCCTTCCTCAGGGCCACATAGTCCTCTGAAGTGCCCCGACCCTAGGTCATTCTACCAAAAGAGAGAGATTTGGGATTTTTAATTCCTGGTGGCAGCAGAAATCTACCAAGTTTAGGTACACCGAGAGTGTTTTAAAGCGAAAAACAGTCTCCCCAACAAGCGAGCGTGCCACAAGCAGCTTCATGTGTTCATGTGTACTATGATCATGCACACAGCGTGTCATGTAATTGTGCACAAAAGTGGGCAAATTGAACAAATCCTTGAAACCGTGTTGTGGATTGTCTCGCATAAAAGTCTTCAGTGCTCTTAAAAAACATTGTGAGAGAGAAAAATCTAAACAACCATTTTGCTACATCCATGGGAGAAAATATTTCACAGGACTTCTTTTATTTGAAAAACCAAAGGGGGAAAGAAAAACAGGTGGGACGTGGGAACTTGCATTCTTTTTGGTCTAATTTTTCCAGGCTTTCACGTCTTTCCTGCTGACTTGTGTTTTCTGCTTTCCAGGGGTGAGCCCAAGACCTGGTATGGGGTCCCATCCTTTGCAGCCGAACATCTGGAAGAAGTCATGAAGAAACTAACCCCAGAGCTGTTTGAGAGCCAGCCAGACCTGCTGCACCAGTTAGTGACACTCATGAACCCCAACACGCTCATGGCTCATGGAGTCCCAGTGAGTAGTTCTCCTTCCTTTCCCCACCCTTATTTCTGTCCATCATGGAGCCAGCCTGTTCCTGCCCTTAAATCCGTCCATCACAGAGCCAGCCTGTTCCCATTGTCAGACTCCTGGGCAAGTTATTCTCAACAACACTTTCTTTGGCAGTGATATGTTTATTGAGTTATAAGCAAGTCCAGGTCTTAACAGTACTGTGTCAGATCTGAAGGTTTTGGCGGGTACAATCAAAGGTATAGGTAATTCAAATGTAACCCCTCCTAAGTTGCCCTGATCCAACATGGCTTCTCTTATACTCTTATGTCTGGGGTAGTGATGCTCTGTCTTCTTGGTGCTTGGGGAGAAACAGTGGGGGGGCTGTGGGAGTTCCAGCCCCTCTGGTGGACCTCCTGATGGCACCTGAGTTTTGGCCACTGCGTGATACAGAGTGTTGGACTGAATGGGCCATTGGCCCAATCCATCATGGCTTCTCTTATGTTCTTAAGGCCCACTCATAGGTCAAATCCACTCTGCCTAGCTCTAGCATCTCTACCCCCCTTTTCACCTGGGAAAATAGATGATCCCATTATCTCCTAAGCAAGCTGGCACCAGAAGTCTCAAGGACATTCCTCTGGGAATAAGAGGCAGGCTTCTTCGGAAGAGTTATGCTTCTACGATAGTGCAGCCACACCCTCCACACTCACACACCCCATCTAAGGAATTCCTCTCCCCCAGCATCTATGGCAAACTGAGAAGAGCAAGGTTTGACACCCATCACATATCCCTTCCTCCTCCTGCAGGTGGTCCGGACCAATCAGTGTGCCGGAGAGTTTGTCATCACCTTCCCTCGAGCTTATCACAGCGGTTTCAACCAGGGCTACAACTTTGCGGAAGCTGTCAACTTCTGCACCGCAGACTGGGTGAGTACCGGACCAGCCGAGACTCGCGCACGCTCTGTCCTTGGTTTGAGGCCAACTTGCCGTGGGCTGCCGGACAGGAGGGAGCGTGAGCCTGGGCTGCTGTGTGTGGTGTTGAGATGTGCACACCTCTGAGACACTTCCGGTATCCATGGGAGTCAGAGGCCTTCACTGACGTTGTTTACCAGCCCTCCACCAGTTTGGTGTAGTGGCTAAGAGAGCCAGTTTGCTGTAGTGGTTAAGTGTGTGGACTCTAATCTGGAAGAACCAGGTTTGATTCCCCCACTCCTCCACTTGCACCTGCTGGATGACCTTGGGTCAGTTACAAGTTCTCTCAGAGCTGTCCTTGAAAGGGCAGTTCTCTCAGAGCTCTCTCAGCCCCACCTACCTCGCAGGGTGTCTGTTGTGGGGAGGGGAAGGGAAAGGAGATTGTAAGCCGCTCTGAGTGAAGGGTGGGGTATAAATCCAATCTCTCCTCCTCCTCCCTCGTCGTCTCAGTTGCCAGCTGGTCGCCAGTGCATCGAACACTACCGGCGTCTCCGCCGCTACTGCGTCTTCTCGCACGAGGAGCTTATCTGCAAGATGGCCGCCTGCCCCGAGAAGCTGGACCTGAACTTGGCAGCCGCTGTGCATAAGGAGATGTTCATCCTGGTGCAAGAGGAGCGCAAACTGCGCAAGGCTCTCCTTGACAAGGTGGGGAGCAGACGCCACGTGTGTGTTTTCCTTTGGAAACAACGTCGCCGCTTTTATTCTGACTAAAACAGTCCTCAGAGTGACTCAGAAAGAGGAGGCATGTACTAACAGCGCTGCTGTTTGGCAGCCTCTAGTGGTGTGGCTGGCCATCTATGTAGAAAGGTCCTGCGTTCATGACGCCTCTGGAAAGGGGGCGAAATCCAGAGAGACCCCTGCCTCCCGTCCCAGGGTATCACGGAAGCAGAGCGGGAGGCCTTTGAGCTGCTCCCGGACGACGAGCGCCAGTGCGACAAGTGCAAGACGACCTGCTTCCTCTCGGCGCTGGCTTGCTACGACTGTCCGGATTGCCTCGTCTGCCTCTACCACATCGACGACCTCTGCAAGTGCCCCAGCAGCAGGCAGTACCTCAGGTGGGCAGAAAGGCACCTCTACCTACCTCTCAATCTGTGCTTGCAAAGGTCCGGCCGTCTGGCTGACTGTCTCCCTTCTCTGGAGAAAAGGGCCAGGCAGAATGTTGGCTGGAAAATACTGGAGTGGCATGTCTGCATGACGTAAGGTTTCGGCTGGTCTCTTACGCCTTGACAGTGTTCTGGCTGACTGTCTCCCTTCTCTGGAGAAAAGGGCCAGGCAGAATGTTGGCTGGAAAACAGAATGTTGGCTGCATGACATAAGGTTTTGGCTGGTCTTTTAGGCCTTGACAGTGTCCCATTGAGAGTGGTTGAACTGGTAGTTCATAAACTGGGATGGGGGAGCCTGTTAACTCAGATACCAAGCGTGGGTTTGAAAATGTCACGTTTGTCTTCTGGTTCGGTATCGTGGTTAGGAGCGCGGACTCTAATCTGGGAGAACCGGGTTTGATTCCCCACTCCTCCACTCGCACTCCACATGCAGCCAGCTGGGTGACCTTGGGTCAGTCCCAAGTTCCCTCAGAGCTGTTCTCTCAAGGGCAGTTCTCGAGAGAGTTCTCTCAGCCCCACCTACCTCATAGGGTGGGGAGAGGAAGGGAAGGGGATTGTAAGCTGCTTTGAGACTTCGGTAGTGAAGGGCCGGGGTACAAATCCAATCCCTCCTTCTTCCACTAACGTCAGTATTGAACCGCATCTCCCTGCCCCTCCCAGTAGATCCACACTTCCAGCTTTGCTCTCTCAGATTGTTGGTGCTAGACTGAGAGGTCCAGAAGGGGGCTCTGGAAACACTCTGTAATATTTTTTTTGCCATCAATTGGCAACTGACTTACGGCAGCCCTGCAGGGTTTTCAGGGCAGGAGATGAACAGAGGTGGGTTTGCCACTGCCTGCCTCTGCGTAGCATCCCTGGGCTCCCTTGATGGTCCCCCATCCAAAGAGTTACTAGGGCTGTCTCCCCTGTCAAAAGAAGAAGAAAACCAAAGCTAAGAAGAAATCTTAAGTGAAGATCTGAGATTACCTATGTTGACATTTAACTTACTTACATTCTCAACCAGATGTGATGTCATATCAAAAATGCCTTTTATGTTCTTTCTTTTTGAACACTTCTATTAGATTTTAAAGAATTGAGTGAAATTTTTAGCATTGTAGACATATACTTAAAGCATTTGATTAGCCTGCCAAAGGTTCTTGTTACTCTCTTTGTAGTTTTAGTTTTGTAGGGTATCGTTTTTGTAGTGTGTAGGAAGAAAAGCAATAAAAAGTATTTTAAAAAAAACAACAGGGAAGAGTTACTAGGGGCCGACCCCGTTTAGCTTCCGAGATCAGGCTAGCCTGGGCTATCCGGGTCAGGGCCCAAGGATATATCAGATGGGTTTTTAGGGGTGGACGAATTTAACTCCTGAAATACAACCAGCCCGTTTCTTGATCTCGGTCAACCTGTGACGCCTGTAACGTGTTCAGAAACAGGAGGTGTCCTTTTTCCAGTTCCATAAGTCTTTTTTTTTTTTTACACAAAGACATAGACTTCTGTAAACCCTACTACGAGATGCTTGTTAGAAAGCACCTCCAGAATTACGATTACGGGCGCGTTGCTGGAATAGAATATTGGAGGTGTGGCTTCTCAGAGCCGCCAAATCAGAAATGAGGAGTAACAGCCATGCTGGGTCAGACACAGTGAACCAGGCTCAGGTGATCAAGATGCTGACGAAGCATGATCCTGGATACATTTTGGGGGGCAGTTTTTCAACTGGGTCTGCAGCATCCCTGGGGCACGGGGAAAGTTAAGCTGTTTCTTCTCCTTCCCCAACGGTTTCCTGGATAGAAATGCCTTCCTCCACCTCCTTCCCAGCAGCTGCTCACTTTGATGGGGGAAAACACATTGCCTTGGGCTAATATCCAGGTCCAGTAGCCACATCAGAAGAGCCCTGCTGGATCAGACCAGTGAGGGTCCCTCTAGTCCAGCATCCTGCCACACACAGGGGCCAGCCAGTTCCTCTGGAGGGCCAGCAACAGGGCAGAGAGGCCGAGGCCTTCCCCTGATAAGAACACCAGAAGAGCCCTGCTGGATCAGACCAGGGAGGGTCCCTCTAGTCCAGCCTCCTGTCTCACACAGGGGCCAGCCAGTTCCTCTGGAGGCTAAGGCCTTCTCTTGATATTGCCTCCTGGCACTGATATTCTGGGGGTGGTGCTGGGTGGTTGACTCCTGTCTTGCATGTGGTATGGGGACGCGCTGATGAGAGTTAGCCTCTCATTAGGAACCCTCCAGTTGTTTGTATGCCAGATGTTGTCTCCTAGCCCTGGGATTCAGAGAAGGTTTACTGTCTCGGAACATGGAGGTTCCCCTTAGTAACCACGGCTAGTAGCCACTCCTTTATCAATCTGTCATGCTGGGCTTTGACTCCTGTGTGGTGCTGGGCAGGGGGCTCGGTGACGAGTTAACCTCTCATCAGGACACTTCCCATTGATTATAAAGAAAACCAAAGATGTGATTTACAGATCTCCAGCATCTGTTTTAGTTGCGCCCCAGAGTCAGGGAAATTTGGTTTGGATGCATCTGTGTTCAGAACTATTGCTGCTGTTTTAAAGACTGGGCGTAACTTTATAAGAGATCCATAGTTCAGCAACAAGGTTGTCCGAGCGGATGCTAGAGTTGGGCAGATGTGCTTCTGTAGCTGTGAGGTCAGACTAACTCCTCTTTGGCTCCATCTCCAACCTGAAGGTATCGGTACACCCTGGACGAACTACCAACCATGTTACACAAGTTGAAGGTTCGAGCGGAGTGCTTTGATACCTGGGCTAACAAGGTCCGGATTGCTCTGGAAGTCGAAGACGGACGCAAGAGAAGTAAGTTGCCTGAGCTGGTTACTTTTAAGGCATGTCTCAAAGAGATTGGGCTTAGTTTCTGGTGTGGTCTGGATGGGAAGAGCACCATGTTCCCTCAAGGCCCTCCACTTTCTGTCTGCAATAACCAGCACAGTGTGAGCAGAAACTGCTCGTCCTTATTTGCCAGTGTTGGGCTTTTCTTTTGTAAAACAATATGACCTTTCAGAGAAGGTTAATGGCATCTGTGTTCAGAACTATTGCTGCTGTTTAAAAGACTGGGTATAAGAGATCCATAGTTCAGCAAAAAAGTTTTCCGAGCGGATGCTAGAGTTGGGCAGATGGGCTTCTGTAAAGCTGTGAGGTCAGACTAACTCCTCTTTGGCTCCATCTCCAACCTGAAGGTATCGGTACACCCTGGACGAACTACCAACCATGTTACACAAGTTGAAGGTTCGAGCGGAGTGCTTTGATACCTGGGCTAACAAGGTCCGGATTGCTCTGGAAGTCGAAGACGGACGCAAGAGAAGTAAGTCGCCTGAGCTGGTTACTTTTAAGGCATGTCTCAAAGAGATTGGGCTTAGTTTCTGGTGTGGTCTGGATGGGAAGAGCACCATGTTCCCTCAAGGCTTTCTGTCTCTGCAATAATCAGCACAGTGTGAGCAGAAACTGCTCGCCCTTATTTGTCAGTGTTGGGCTTTTCTTTTGTAAAACAGAATACGACCTTGCAGAGAAGGTTAATGGGCAGGCCCGTAGCCAGGATCTTGTGGCTCATGGGGCAAATATTTTTCTGGATGGGCTGAAGTTCTCGGTGCAGAAAGGAAGCCCATTTAGCCAGTAGAAAGCTGTTACCAGAATAGATACAGGTCCATCATTCTCAATGAGCATCCGGATATAAACTCATTTCGTCCCAATCTTCCTCAGGAGTAATCCTGGTTCCATGTTCAAGTGTTTATAAAGGAGCAAGTCAGTCTTGTCTTTTACATAGGTGCAAAAGCCTCCTGTATTATGCTGGCTTAAGAGCTCTCCATGAACACTATATATTTATGGTAGTAGCAACCAGTGTTCCCTCTAAGCTGAGTTAGTGTGAGCTAGCTCACAATTTTGTAGCCTCTGGCTCACACTTTTTTGTCCTAGCTCAGGGAGGATGGCTCCAGAGCAAACTAATTTATGCAGTAACCAAATCGCTCGCTCACAACTTAAATGCCAGCAGCTCACAAAGTAGAAATTTTGCTCACAAGACTGCACAGCTTAGAGGGAACATTGGTAGCAACCAGTCCTCTTCTCTCCCCGGCTAGAAAAGTCTTCAATTTTAAATTGGCTGGCAAAATGCTCTCTCAGAAGATTATTTGAAAAATATAAAGAAGAAATTAAACACTGGGTTGCTCTTAAACAGAACATTGAACTGTAGCAAGAGGCTGACACCTTCGTTACTATAGGATTACTCCTGAGGAAGATTGGGACGAAACGAATTTATATCTGGATGCTCATTGAGAATGATGGACCTGTAATATTGCCAAGTTTTACAATATAACATGATTCTTTCTTAACATGTCATTTATATCACAGTGTTTGCTTGTTTGTTGCTGTTCATGGAGGGGGGGGGGCATCATGGAAACTGACGTAGTGCTGGGACCAATCAGGGCCATGGGAAACGGGAGAGACGGAGCGGTCAGGTGGCAGGATTAGCAGCTTCTTTCCATACTGGTAAGAAGTAGGTCTCAAAATCGGTTGAATCCTTGCAGCAGATCTTGAGCTCCCCTGCCTCTTAGCAGATAGAGGTGGGGATTGTTGCTGAAGCCCCACTGTGAGTGTCTGGTCTTTGCAGCCTTGGAGGAGCTGCGTGCCTTGGAGTCGGAGGCGCGAGAGAGGAAGTTCCCCGAAAATGAGCTGCTTCACCGACTCAAGTGCTGCTTGAGCGAAGCCGAGAAGTGTGTGTCGGAGGCCCTCGGTCTGTTAAGCAGCCAGGAAACTGGGTGAGTGGAGGCTCTGCTGTTGGCAGGCGAGGAGGCCATGGCCGTCCATCCAGATTAATCCATCCAGCAGGGCTCAGGAAGGGCCGTTTTCCATGCATCTCACCCCACTGAGCATTTCTACTGCAGAAAGCCTCGTCTGTGTAAAACATGCGGCCCGGGGGCCAGATCAGGCCCACAGAGGGCTTCTATCAGGCCCGCAGTGGAACTGGCTGTCTTCTGCTGCTTCTTCCAGTTCTGCTGCTGCTTGCTGCGTCATCATAGGTGTGCAGCTTACAGGTACACACCTGAGCAGCATACTCAAGATCGCAATAGCACAGACATTTTGATGTAATAATTCAGAGCAAGAGGTGTCAGTTATCAGACCCTGTTAAATAAATAAAATATTGCAAGAGTGCTAATGTTTTAAGCATGTTTTTATTTTAAGTTAAGAAAAACCCCTTTGTGTTTGTGTCCTTTATAAAGTTTATATCTCCTCTACCTGGCATTACATTTTATGACATACATGGCCTGGCACAACAAGGCCTCATTTATATCAGATCCGGCCCTCATAACAAATGAGTTCGACACCCCTGCCCTAATGTATTCAGACAAGTACTGATATTTCCCCCCATTTTGTTTTTGTTTTTGTTGTGGCTCTGTAATGGAGCCCTGCAAATAGTGGGGTTGGCAGCTAAAATGTCTCCCCCCCCCCCCCCGCCCCCCGCTTGCTTTTCCAGGGAAGCATCAGTCCATATGACGGTGGAGGAATTGCGTGCCTTCCTGGAGCAAATGAGCAACTTGCCCTGCGTCATGCACCAGATCAAGGAGGTCCAGGTAGTCAAAAGCGAGGTCGTGTTGCAGTCTCCCAGTCTGAGAGACCCGAACTGCCGGTCGGGAGTGCCGAACTGGGCTCGGCCGGGGACGGCTACAGTGCGGAACGCTGGCCGTGAGGCTGGGTGTGGCTCGGACGTGACGCGTGTTCCCCTCCTAGGGCGTGCTGGAGAAAGTGGAGGCCTTCCAAGCGGACGTCCAGGAGGCCCTGCAGGATCTCCCCGGCAGCTCCCCGGAGCTTCACAGACTGCTGGCTCGGGGGACGCGGCTCGGGGTGGAGGTGCCCGAGATGGAGCTGCTGGAGAGGCAGGTGCAGCAGGCAGTCTGGCTGGAGGAGGTGAAGCAGACGCTGCGTTCCCCCCGGGAGAAAGTCACCCTCTCCGTGATGCGGGCGCTCATCACCTCAGGCTGCGGGGTGGCCCCCAGCCCTGCCGTGGACAAGGCCATGGCCGAGCTGCAGGAGCTGCTGACCATCGCTGAGCGCTGGGAGGAGAAGGCCCAGATGTGCCTGGAGGCAAGGTGAGGCTCAGTTCCCGTTGTGCCTCTGGGGCTTCTTAGTCCCGCTCTGGGGTATAGGCGAGCACTGGAGAGACAGGATGCCCCTGAAAGCCCCTGCCTGATCGCTTCTCCCCCCCTTCCGAACCCTCGCAGGCAGAAGCACCCGACCGCCACCCTGGAGGCCATCATCAAAGAAGCTGAGAACATTCCCGTGCACCTGCCCAACATCCTGTCCCTCAAGGAGGCGCTCTCCAAAGCACAGGCTTGGATCGCTGACGTTGAGGAGATCCAGGTGTGCTGAGGCGGCAAGGTCGGAGGGTCGGCCGGTGGGGTGTGGGCTCCCTTCCGGCGTTTTGCAGGCTCTACCAACCCATGCCCCCCTCTGCTCCTTCTCCTCACAGAATGGGGACCATTACCCCTGCTTGGATGACCTGGAGGGGCTCGTGGCCGTGGGCAGGGACTTGCCGGTCCGCCTGGAGGAGCTGCGTCACCTCGAGGTGCAAGTGGTCACCGCACACTCCTGGCGGGAAAAAGCCTCTAAGACTTTCCTCAAGAAAAACTCCTGCTACACATTGCTAGAGGTTAGTCCTCTCCCGTGAGCTTGTGGCGCGGGGAGGGCGGGGGTGGGGGGCCAGTCCCCTAGTCAGGATTTTTTTGTTCGGGGGTGAAGGGGAGTTAAATTACAGTTAATTGAATTAATCTAAATGCCTGTCTTGAAAGGGGGAGGCTCCGAGCCTGTTTCCAGCCCTTCCTGTCAAGGGACAGGGCCGTGCGCGTGTCAGTGCCGTGGAGGGGGGGGGGAACAGCTCAGAGGGCATTTAATTGCCTTCAAAGGACATTTAAATGCCTTCTGGGTTCTCTTCCACAGGGCAAGAAAGCTTACAAGGGCACTCAGGAGGGGCACCTTCAGTACCTCTCCAACAATCCCCCTTTCAGCTAGCCCAGCCCTGCTGAATACCACCTAGGTCAGGGGTGTCAAAAATAAGGCCCGGGGGCCAGAATCGGCCTGCGAGCGACTAGTGCAAGGGAGGGAGCAGGAGACTGTTCATGGGGGAGTGGGTGGAGCCACTCCGATTGTGGCTTCAGCATGGCGGAACAACCTCGTCTGCAGCAGTCAAGCAGTGTGGGAGCGTCTGCCCAGTGCTGCACCGCTGGCTCTCTAGTCCACCCATGTAGGTTTTCATGTGCACACATCCCCCGTCCATGGGGCCTTGACGGGAGGATACACTAACTCAGAGCTTACCAGCTGCTGTCCTTCATGCAGTTTATATCTCCGGTATCTGGCATTCCGCTTCACGGCACACGTGGGCTTGGCCCGGCCCGACAAAATGACATTTGTATCAGATGCGGCCCCCATCACAAACACGTTTGACACCTCTGACCTTGCTCATGGCATGTTTCCCAAAGGCTCATGGGAATGCTTTTGAAAGACTCACCGTAACGACGGGTCTAGGTGGGGCCAGCCCCACGGAGCCCAGCTTTATTCCTTGGCCTCTCCTGCCAGGTGCTGTGTCCGTGTGCCGACGCCGACTCAGACAGTGTCAAACGCACCAAATGGCAGCGGGAGAAGGAGCCGGGCCTGTACAAATCCGACACGGAGAGCCTGGGCCTCTCGGCGCAAGACCTCAGAGACCCCGGTTCTGTGGTGAGTCCCCCTCCCCAGACTGGCCGTCTTGGGCGCGGGGTTGGGGATGGGATCCAGGGCCCGTGAAGATCCGTGGCTCCAAGTACGGGCTCAGAATCGGGGGTTTGGGCCGTCAAATGCAGGCCAGTTCCGTGGCAGGCTTTTTTAATTTAAAAAGAAACCGAACCCAAAAAACTTTGGTAATGCATTAAGTATAAGTTTATTGTCATAGACCACAGCATAATACATCAGACCATAAAATGGTCTACATGAGCAGTAAAATATCAGCATACTCCCATATTGTCATAGACCACAGCATAATACATCACACCATAAAATGGTCATGTAAACAATAGAATATCAGCATACTCCCGTATTCCTTCTACTCTGCATTAAATACTAAACTCATTCTGATTTTCCTTGTTGCTAAGGCAAATAACGCCATTCCGCTAGAGACCTAGCGGTCAAGGTCCGAGAGTAAAAATTCGACCAGATCCAGATTGGAGAGTCCATTATGCTGCAGAAGAATAGGGATCATGTACTTTAGCCTTAGGGGCTTCATGCTGTGGTTATCTCAGAATATAAGAACATAAGAGACGCCAATGTTGGATCAGGCCAAAGGCCCATCCCGTCCAACACTCTGTGTCACACAGTGGCCAGAAATACCAGGTGCCGTCAGGAGGTCCAGCAGTGGGGCCAGGACACCAGAAGCCCTCCCACTGTTGACCCCCCCCCCTCCAAGCACCAAGAAGACAGAGCATCACTTGCCCCAGAGCCCCTATCTATACCTTGTGGCTAATAGCCTCTGATGGACCTCTGCTCCATATGCTTATCTGATTCCCTTTTGAAGCCATCCATGCTTGTAGCCTGCCCAACATCCCAATATAATGTGCAATGTCATCAGCTTCCCCCATATCGCAAAGACAAAGTCTAAGGGGGGCAGGGATACCTTCGGTGATGGAGTTGGATAAAATCTGCGGTGCTTCTGTCATGGTAGGGCTTAGAGGATTTTGCGGAGAATTGTGGGTGTTGGAGCGTGGCTGAAACATCTGGATTTGTTCTGCTCGCTGGCTGTCGCTGGTGACGTGGAACAGTGTGGTCCCCCCTCGTGGAACAGTGGGGCCCCCCCCCCCCCGGATGCTAGAAATCGGGAAATCCCCTCTCTCTGTCCATTCTTGACAACCTTGTCTTGCGTCGGCAGATCCTGGCCTTCAAGGAGGGTGAGCAGAAGGAGAAAGCGGGAATCCTCTGCCTGCGCCAGTCCAACGCCCAGAAGCCAGCGCCGTCAACGCCCAGTCCTCCCGGGGGCCAGTACTGTGTGTGTTCCCAGCCCCCGAGCCCCGCCATGCTGCAGTGCGAACTGTGCCAGGACTGGTTCCACACCGCTTGTGTGGCTTGGCCCCGCCTGGGCACCCCCCGCCCCTCTCCCGCGTGGTGGGAATGGGAAGCCAAGTTCCTGTGCCCGCTGTGCCAGCGCTCCCGCCGGCCCCGCCTAGAGACGATCCTGGCGCTGCTCGTGGCCCTGCAGAAGCTGCCCGTGCGGCTGCCCGAGGGAGAAGCCTTGCAGTGCCTGACAGAGCGAGCCATCACGTGGCAGGACCGGGCCCGCCAGCTCCTCGCCTCCTCGGAAGTCGCGGCCGCCTTGGAGCGCCTTGCGGGGCTGCGGCAGCGGCTGCTCGGGGACTCTGCCAAGGAGGCGGGGGCCCTCAAGGAGAGCAGCTGCAACGAACAGACCAAGGTGAGTGGAGGCGGCGGGCCCAGCCCCTCTTGGCCCGAAGGGAAGAGAGGGATTCTGAACAGTGCTCCCTCTAAGCTGTGGGGGTCCTGTGAGCAAAAATTCTGCTTTGTGAGCTACTGGCGTTAAAGTTGTGAGCGAGCGATTTGGCCGCTGCGTCAATTAGTTTGCTCCAGAGCCGTCCTCCTTGAGCTAAGACAAAAAGGTGTGAGCCGGAGGCTAAAAAACTCTCAGATAGCTCACACTAACTCAGGTTAGAGGGAACACTGGTTCTGAACGTTGTGTATGTTAATGCAGGTTTTGTTTTGGTGTTCATTGCAGGTTAGAAACATAGAATTGGGAGGAGGTCCTCCAGGGTCATCTAGTCCAACCCCCTGCACAATGCAGGACATTCACAGCTTGCTCTCACTCACTCACACACGCGTGCGCACACTCTCCCCCAAGTGACCCCTGCTGTATGCCCAGAGGAAGTCAGAAGAATCCATGATCCTGAGGCTAATTTGGCTGGGAGGAGAACTCTTTCCTGGCCCCAAAGCGATGATGGGCATTATCCTAGGCCTATAAGAATGGGCCTCTAGAGCTGGGCACTGGCTCGTCCTTTCCTACCCTCCCTTTCACCATCTTCCTAAATTCACAGAAATGGCATAGCTGTCAGACGGCCATCTAGCCTCTGCTTAAAAACAAAGCCAGTTTGGTGTAGTGGCTAAGAATGGCGGAATCTAATCTGGGAGAACCGGGTTTGACTCCCTGCTCCACATTCAGCTGCTGGTGTGTCCTTGGGTCAGTCAGAAGTTCTTTCAGAGCTGTGCTCTCACGAGCAGTCCTCGAAAGGGCTCTCTCAGCCCCACCGACCTCACACGGTGTCTGTTGTCGGGAGGGGAAGGGAAAGGAGTTTGTCAGCTGCTCTGAGACTCCTTTGGGTAGTGAAGGGCGGGGTATAAATCCAATCTCTTCTCCTCCTCCAAAAAAAGGAGAGCCCACCACCATTCCTGTTGAGGAATCACTCTGTCAGGAAGTTCTGCCAAAACCTCTTTTGAGCTGTTGGTTCTGGTCCCAACCCTTTGGGGCAGCAGAAAACAGCTCCACTCCATCCTCTCTCTGACAGCCCCACAGATACTTGGAGATGGCCGTCCTATCCTCCTCTCAGTCACCTCCTGTGCAGGCTAAAGATTTTCTCTCCGCTTGCAGAATTCTGTGCCTGTTGTTCTTTAACCGAATGCAACTTAACATTTCCTTTAGTCGGAGCCGTTAAAGAACTTGTAGGCCTTTTAAATCGAAAGGGACAGATGAGGTGGGGAGCAGCAAGCATGACTAGGAGCTTCCAAAAATGAACACACAGAAGACCGGTGCCAGGTGACCATCCTGACTGGATAACGTCTCCTTGCCTGCGGCTGTAGGGTTGGATGGTTAGCTCAGATTTGGCGTTAAGCAGCTCAGCCCCAGAATGGGCCGCTGCCTCTCGGCTCTCCTCGTTGTTGGCGTGCTGGTGTTGCAATGTTGGAGGCCAGAGTACCGCTTTGTCAGCATCTAGGCCAGGGGTGTCAGACTCATTTGTTACGAGGGCCGGATCTGACATCAATGTCACTTTGTCGGGCCGGGACACGTGTGCCATAAAACGTAATGCCGGGTACCAGAGATAGAAACTGTATAAAGGACAGCAGCTGGTAAACTGGTTGGTGTATCCTCACTGCAAGGCCCCATGGGCTGGGAGGGGGGTGCAAAGGGAAACCCGTTTGGGCAGACTGGAGAGCCGGCGGTGCAGCGCTGGGCAGAAGCTCCCACACAGCTTGGCTGCTACAGACGAGGTTGTTCTGCTGTGCTGAAGCCCCAATGGAGTGGCTGTGCCCACTTCCCCCCCCCCCAGCACTTCCTCCCTTGCATCAGTTGCTCGTGGGCCGCGTAAGAGCCCTGGATGGGCCGGATCTGGCCCCCGGGCCTTATGTTCGACACCCCTGATCTAGGCTGTGACGATGCTCTTGCCCTCTTCTTTCCAGTAACTCTTCTACATCTTGTGTGTCGTCCCCCCCCCCATCAATTCTGTCTCTGTAGCAGCGTTGTTTCTCAGGCAGTGGCCTTTCCATTGATCTCCTTGCCTCCCTCCCCCCCTCCCTTCATCCCCTCTGAACCCTGTACAGCCCTATGTGTCTGAAGTGTGCACACACACGAAAGCTCATGCCCGGAATTAAACTTTGTGGAGTCCTAGAGGTGCCCCTGGACTCAGACTTTTGTTCTCAAGCCCTTTCTCTGGTTAGCCTCTGCTTGCCTCTGTTCCCCGTCTCTGTTCCTCAGGCCTCCTTCCCTGCCTCCCGACCCGGATTCTTGATCCGTCATGTACCCCGTGGCCCTTCACCTCTTCGTCTCTGCCTCCCTGTGCCTTAGTTTCCTGGCACCTTAGCCTCTCTTCCCAGTCTTCAGTTTATGTTTTCAAAAAGCATGTTTTTAAAAAAAAAAAAATTCCGGCCAGGCTTCGACACCTTTGCTTTCTTTTCAAAATTTGGATGGCAAGTTTTTTTCGTCCCACAATCAGCTTGAACGTTTCGGGGCATCGGGCCAGCTTGGCCAGTCAGTCTCAGAGGCTTCACTGCCTCACGTTTGCTACCACATGCTTATCCTGTCTTGACTTGGCCATGGTTTCAAGTGAATCCCAGGTGAATCCTAGAGTTGGAAGGGGCCATACAGGCTATCTAACATGAGGCCCCGGGGCCGGAACCAGCCCGTCCAGGGTTCTTATGTGGCCCGCGAGCAACTGATGCAAAGGAGGAAGTGCTGAGGGAGAGTGGGCGGAGTCACTCCATTGGGGCTTTAGCACAGCAGAACAACCTCGTATTCAGCAGTCAAGCATCGTGGGAGGATCTGCCCAGCGTTGCACTGCTGGCTCTCGAGTCCACCTATATGGGTTTTCCTTTGCACCCGCCTCCCAGCCCATGGGGCCTTGTAATGAGGATACACCATCTTGGAGCTTACCAGCTGCAATCCTTTATACAGTTTCTATCTCTAGTACCTGACATTACATTTTATGGCACACATGTCCCGGGCCAAACAAAGGTGACATTTATGTCAGATCCGGCCCTCGTAACAAATTTTTGACACTGAGCTAGTCCAACACACACACACACCCCCCGCTCAGTGCAGGATCAGCTTAAAGCATCCCTGATAAGTGTTTGTCCAGCTGCTTCTTGAAGACTGCCATTGGGGGAGGGGAAGCTGACCACTAGGGATGGGCACGAACCGGGAAAATGCAGTTCAGTTCCTGGTTCGTGATGTGCCCCGTTCGCAGACCACGAACTGTCACAAACTGTTAGGACACAAACAAACCAGTTTGGTTTGTAAGGTTCGTGGTGTGGTAGAATGCTCCCCCCGGTAGAATGCCCCCCCCCCCCAGTATACTGGAGACACCAGACTCGCAGGGGAACTCTGACTCTCTCTCCTCTACTTGTTCTCCAAGTTTGGTGAGGATTGGATTTATGGGGTCTGAGTTATTGCCCCCCCCTCCAGAAGGTGCACCCAGGAAAGTGCTTTCTAGGGTAATGACAGGCGCAGGTTCAAGAGTGTGTAGAACGAACCCTGTGCAAGCTCGAGACATCAAACTCACGGGACATCCCCCTTATGCTCCTCTACATGCCCTTCAAGTTATGTGCAGATTGGACTTAAGGGTCTGCGTTATGGCCCTCCTAAAGATGTCCCCAGGAAAGTGTTTTTTGGGGAAATGTCAGGTGCAGGTTCAAAAGTGCAAGCTACACATGTGACATGCGCAGGGAACCTTATTGGTGTTTCCAAGGCTGGAGAATTCTGCCCCACCACCCACCCCGTTGCTTTGAAGTTGGGTAAACATTTTGTTTGAGTGGAGACAGTCTGTCTGGAAATGTATCCATTCACGAACAGCCCGAAAGTTCATGCTGATTGACCAGCCACAGGCTTCAGTTCGCAAACTACGTATGGTTCGTGCCCATCCCTCCTCACCACCTCCCCAGGCAGCTGATTCCACTGTTGAACTACTCTTACAGGGAGAAAAAATTGCCTAATATCCAGCCAGTACCTTTCCACCCGTAATTTATGCCCATCATTGTAGGAGCCGTGGGGGAGCCCCTTGTGCCACCTGCAGGGTTGCGGGGCTCCATGTTGGCGCTGTGATTTGTGACTCACCCATATGTTCCGTCTCTCACCTTTCATCTCCTCCTCCTCCAGGTTTCCTTGGAGAATGGAGACTCCACAGCCCCAGAGAAGAACAGCTCCTCTGCCTCAGGTATTACTGTCAGATAGCCCGGTTAGGATCCGGTTTCCCCGTCTCTTTTAGGATTATCTTGGAGACAGAGGGAACAAGTGAGCTCCTGGGAGTGTGGAGGCCACAACAATTTTATTTTAGGTCCCTTGTATTCCCCCCCCCCCCCCCGGAAAGAGCCCCCCGGGAAAAATGGGC